GAAAGATTTTTTTGGTTTTAAACAATCCAGAGAAAACCCACCAGGGCACTGAATAGAACCTGCTACTATTGGACACTTCCTTTATCCATGGGACTGGAGCTCATCCACTTTCCTCTCCAGGGACTCAGTAGATGCATGTCTTGAAACAGAGACAGCCTTTCCCTCTACAGAACAAGTCAGTAGACAGAGAAGAGAAGTAATGGACATTCACCCGAGGCTCCAAAATGTGCAAGTCATGAGAAGGGACCAAGGGAGAGGAAAACTTGATTATCTCTGTAAGGAAGAGGGAGGGATGGTAGATCCAGGGAACAGGGACTATCAGTGAAAAGGAAGGAGATGGGTTAAGGGAAAGGAGGCATAATGGGGAGAGAGAATGAAACTGTCTGAAGACCAACAGAGGACCTGCAGTCACACTCAAAAACACACCCCAGTCAAAGGCTAGTGCAGGAGAGATCACTGCTTAAGCTTCCCAGGGGAGGAAACCCATGGAGGAGAGACAACGCCTTCTTCCCTAGTTTGTCCCTGAATCTTCACAGCAGCAGAACAATGATCTCTAGTAAACACCTGCCTAAACCGTTACTGCACTCCAGGGGCTATCTGGTTTACGAAAGGGCAGGTGAGGAGGCGTCCAGCCCAAAGGGGGATGGTTTCCTCGCTCATGGTAACTGCTGTGGTTTCCTGGGGCAGCCGTGAGTGTCTTCTGCACACATCCAACTGCAAAAACAGCCAGGTGAACCTCCCTGGTCCACCACTATGTTCCCCTCCTTAGAGGCAAACTAGTGATCCACCTATGAGCAGAAAAGGAAGGAACCTGCTGTATGGTTTGTTAGAAGAAAGACTTTAGATAAATTAACAGAGTTTAATTGGACAAAGAACAATTGGAGAATTGGGCAACGCCACCATCAGAATAGGTTCAGAGCAACAGGCGCTGTCATGCATCAGAGAGGATTTGTGGACAGAAGAAAGTAAGTGACATAAAGTAAACAGAAGTGAGATACAGAAACAGATTGGTTACAGCTCCGGGTCTGCCTTATTTGGCAATGGTTTGAACAGTTGCCTGCTGTGATTGGCTGAAATTCGGCTACTTGTTACAAGAGTTCTTTACAGTCTGTTTACCCATCCAGTTAGGCTACAGTTCACTATGTATGGAGAAATCTTCTAAAATATGTAAGGAGGCAGCTTTAGGCTAAGCAATTTAATAGGTTTTACATAGCAACCCTTGACCTGATTTGCCTTCTAGTTAAAGGTAGTTAATTAAATCTTACTTCACCTTCAGTAGAAGAGCTGAATGGGTAAAGCTAGCACCACATAAAAATAGTGATATTAATTTCCCTACTCTCCTCCTTCTTAGAATTTCAGACATTTTGGGAACCTGTATATATTCGACGTATAGTATGGATTTACAAAAAAGATGCACAAAGGCATGACTGTTGGCATCACTGAAAAATTAATACAATCAAAGTACACACAGTAAGGTTTTCTTGTGGTACTTTATTCTTCAAATGCATTTAAAGTATAATTCCAGGCCAGGCATGGGTGGCTCATGCCTGTAATCCCAGCTCTCTAAGAGGCCGAAGTGGGCGGATCACCTGAGCTCAGGAGTTTGAGACCAGCCTGGGCAACATATGTGAAACCCTATCTCTACAAAACATATGAAAATTAGCTGGGTGTGATGACACATGCCTGTAGTTCCAGCTACTCAGGAGGCTGAGGTGTGGGGATCACTTGAGCCTGGGAGGTCAAGGCTGCATTGAGCCATGATCTCACCCCCGCATTCTAGCCTGGGTAGAGAACGAGACCCTGTCTCAAGAAAAAAAAGAATGTAATTCCAAAAATTCAAAACATGTTCAGGAAGACAAGGTAGGGTATGTTTGTTGATTGTCGCTCTTGCATCCATTCCCTACCTCTCTTTTCCTAATAGGTCTGGGATTTCCCAGCCAGGTAGTTTGGGTGAAATAGGTTCTACCCATCCAGGTCCTGGAGCAGACCTTGACTGGCTTAATCCAATTAGAGTGATCTGCCCCTCCTAGTCACACTAATTGGTGCAAGGATGGGCACCTGACTACAATCTCGCCAATTAAAGCCAGTGAGATTTAATTAGGGGATTTCAGTTAAGCTGTTAGAGAAGCAATGTCTTCCTGCTGGATGTAGCCAGCAAGCTTGTAGCTCTGGTAGCTTCCAAAAACCTTCTGGGACCAGGAGAGGCAGCCCTGTCTGAGAATAGAGCCATTAGACACCAAAGTGGCAAAGCTAAGAGGTGAAGAGGAGAAACTGGGTCCTGGTTAGTGTTGAAGCCAGGGATATAGCCTCATTTTGTAAAACTTCTCTACACCAATCAATACATTTGCCTTTCTGAGCCAGTTTGGGTCAGGTTTCTCTGTCATTTGCAACCACAACACCTTATTTCTAAAAATCTACCTTATAAAAAACAACACATGTCTAAAACTTCTTTTACTGATCATTTGAAATTAAAGTTTCATTTTCACAATGAAATCGAATGAAGAACCACAAAATACTGGCAACACCCACTGCAGAAAGGAAGTGGGTTATTTCCACCACTCACTGGCTTTTCTTTTCTCTTTTTTTCTCCCTTTTTGCCACTCTCTTTCTCTCAACTTCCAAAGGAAACACCTAGATAAATCCTATTTGGCTGAAGTCAAGTGCACTGCAGACTGCATTAGTTTTGCAGGAAGGTGCTGACAATCTCACAGTGTCAAGTGTATGGTGCCCTGGAGTGTTAGGAATCTAGATTTTCCTTCCTTTTGTAGGTAATTTGCACCATGACTTCTTAGATACCACTATCTGCCGTTATAACCTGTCATTTTTATCGAGTGGAGAAAACACAGCCTTAATTCTCCCTTGCAATGTGAACCCGGGGCAGGTGTCAATGCCAACTACAGCTGCCACAAGTATTACTAGTCCACGTGTTCTCTTCCTTCAGGATTTGGGGGCCCATCTTTAACCTTTTTGAATCTCTCATCACGGACAAATATTTTAAAATGTCCCTTCATGATGATGATGCTAATGTAACTGTTTTGGTACCTGATTAAATCCAATTTTGCACATATCTGGTATGTATTACGTGGTAGAGTTATCCCTCTATCTACGCCACCCCTCCCCTGCCTGTTGTGGGGTGCTGGGCAGTTGCATTGGACCTTGCCTTAATTGTTCAACAATTAAATTTCCCTGTCTGCACAATGGACTGTGTGAGGTTCTTGAGACAGAATTAGCCCCACAAACAGTGCTCTGACTTTGCTCACCCCTCCCCACATCCTCAGCTGCAGGGCCTCAAGTACAACCCATAAACATAGTGTCATCAATTCCTTGAAATTCTTTTTTTTTTTTTTTTTCCTTCCCAGTAATAGGGACATATAGGACTGTGCTTGGCTGTCTTTCCCAGTTGGGGGAGTGCAGGCTATCTCCTATGTCTGATATTTTTCTCTTGGCTTCTCTCCCTTGTTGACTAGACTGCTTCAGGGATCTGGCAAATGGTTCCACAGATCCAAAGTTCCAGCAGTCTATAAGTGTATGTTGTCAGAGTGACCTCGGGCAGTGTGTGGCCAGGGGACCCCTCCATGCCAATGGCCTCATGTGGGCCTCAATGAGCAGTAGAGTCCCTAAGACCTGCGTTTGAGGGCCTTGCCCATCAACACACACACATACACACACACACACACACACATAAATTTATTAAAAAACATACGAGCACCTCTGTAACTTAGGATCTGGCATTCAGTGCTGCCTCAGTGGGGTGCATAACCCTCAACATCCATTATTGTGATTGATGCCATGGAGGCTCCAGGGAATGCTGCTTCTCATTTTTAGCTCAATGCCATGAAGGATAGTGACACTGCTGACGTTTGAGACTATGTTATGTTAACATAACTATGTTTATGTTAACTCCAAGAAAACCTAGATTTTTTTTAAAGGTCAGCTTGTCAAATCCTTCTCAGACAGCATGCATGCAGTGACTCCTGCATTACAACGTACTGTTTCCCAAGGATGAGAATCGTCCATTTTCTTGCTTCCGTCAGTGTTCCAGTTTGTGGTTCCAGATGTACTCAAGAATTAGCAAGGTTCTGCAACAGTTATAGATGACACTTAAGGAGTGGCAGTACTTCTTATTACTCTAAAATTTCTATTTATAAAAGTTGAAAATCCTGTATGGATTTAGATATTCTTATAAGGGATGGTACAATTTACAAAATAAGTAAAAGCAACTTATATGACAAAATTATTTTGCATTTTTCTGTAATAACTTATACTGGTCCCATGATAATGGATGACATAATGTTTAAAATTCATGAGTTATTTCTAAACCTGAGGATTGCTTTCATTTTAAAAAACAATTCTGTTATAAATGCTTCAGCAAAGTTTCTCCAAGTTGAAATTAATAAACTACACTCTAAAAACGACAGCGACTCAAGGAAGGTTGTTTAATTTGGCATTAGAACATAATCTTGATTGTAACACTACATTAAGGAATTTTGCTAAATTAGAGAAAAATAAATTTATGAAAAAAACATGAAGATGATTTATGCATTGCTTGTCTCTAGAATATTAGGCATCCAGGTATCACCAGCCCATCATCAGAACAGTAAGACCTCTGTGATAGTAGTTAAATTCAGTCACTTTTGATGTTTTGCTGACATTTGGTCATATGAAAACCAAAGCTTTGCAAGAATAATTGGCAGTGTGACAACAGGATACACTTTAGCAGCTGAATTTATAACTTTTAAATATTTGGGCATATGGCATATAGGCCTCCATTTCCCCTCCTGCCCCATTGCGCAAATGGTGGTGGCGGGCTGGAGTGGGTGGTCCCTGGCTCCGAGGGTCTCTGCGTTGCAGTCCCGCAGCGCGGGGCTCAGGGGAGCGGCCCGGCAGGTGCCAGAGACCCCGCCCCCGCCGCCCACCTCCTCGGGAATTGGCTGCCCTGGTCCTAGGGGGCGGCCCCAGGGTCGGGATGAAGTCTCTGGTCGCGGGCGCGGGCTACGTGGGGTTTCAGTTACTCGTGGACAAAGCGCCGCGCGCTTGCATTGCGGCCCGGGCGGAGTTCCCCGTCCCCTTCCCTTCCCTTCCACACCCGCACGCTCGCTCTCCCTCCGCGCCTTGCCCTCCCCTCGACTCCCAGGTCCGGCCCCTTCGGGGGAGGGTGGGGGCGCTCGGGTCTCCGGGCCTCGCGTGCGTGTGTCCGAGCAGCCCTGGGCGGTGGGCGAGGGCGCGGCCTGGGGACCCGGGAGGGGCCGGGGCGCGGGGCTGCAGGAAGTGGAGGCGGCCGCCGCGCGGGGACCGGCTTGGCGGGGTGAGAGACACCCGGAAACGGATTCCGCTTCGGGGCCCGAGCGAGTCGGGTGCCTCCGAGGGCGCCTGAGGAGCGGGCGGGTGCTGCTGAGTAATCCCCGCGGCGGCGGCCGGACGCCCACCTCCCACGCCGCGCCGCAGCCGGGCCGCGGCTCCTCCCTCCACGGTCCTTCCCTCCCCTTCCCTCCCCCTTCTCCCCTCCCTCCCGGCTCCGCTTGGCTCCGGGCAGGTAGAGCCGGGCTCCGGGCGCGCGCGGGGCCGCAGCAGCTGCTCCCGACCTCGCCTCGGCCCAGCGCAGGGCCTCGCGCGCCCATGGCCGGCTCGGAGCAGCAGCGGCCGCGGCGGCGGGACGACAGAGACTCGGACGCGGCGGCGGCGGCGGCGGCGCCCCTGCAGGACGCGGAGCTGGCCCTGGCCGGCATCAACATGCTGCTCAACAACGGCTTCAGGGAGTCGGACCAGCTTTTCAAACAATACAGGTGACCCACGCGTCCCCGCTCCCCCAACCCGGCCGCGCGCACCTCGTGTCCGGCTCACGCGCCTGGATCTGCGGCCCCCGGGAGCCCCCTCCCCCTCCTGTCAGTCCCCGATTCCGGTCCCCAGGTCGCCTCCCGGGCAAGATCAGCCGGAGGGAATGCGCCTCTGCCACATCTCGTCGTCCACCCGCTACCCGCGGCTCCGTAGTCCTTTCCCTCCCGGGACCCCCCGCGCGCCCGCAATCTCCCCTCTCACTTTCTCCCAGCCTCGCCCTCCCAGAGATGTGCCCGGTGCCGGTCGGCTTCTCTCGGCAGGGCAGCTGGCTTTGGGACCGGATGAGATTTGAGGCAGCAGCGAGCCTGGGACCCGGGCTTGTCGTGACTCTGGCTCGCGTGCTGCCCCGGCAGCCTTTGTGACACGGAGCCCACCAGCTGCCTGCTCCTCGCGCATCGCATGGCTCTGCATCATTGTGCGGTTCCAGACGCTTTTATTGTTTGAAAACAGACACGCACAGTTGCTTTGCCGTGCAGGAATTTAAAAATTTCAGCCCAACTCTGCCCACTCATCTCTCTGCCTTGTCTTCTACAAACTCAGTCCTCAAAATGAGTTCCTGATGTCTTTCAAGCAGGCGTTATTTATTAAGAATTTTTCCAACGTAAAGGAAGGAAGAAAATGGAGGGATTTTTAAAAAGTATATGAGAATGGTAGGAAAACACGTGTGTTCAGTTAATTTTTTTATTTGTCTTTTAAAAAATAAAGCGAAAGAACTGAAACCTGGTAGTTTTCCTGTGGGGGTGGAAGGAACCTTCATTTCGTTGGGGACCTGGAGTGTGTGTTCTCGGGTTGAGGAAGCAAGTTTGTGATTTGCCGTCTGGATTGTTGACGAGCCTTAAGGATGTTGATTAGTAGCTTTCCCGAACACGTTTAAGGGCCACATGTTTCACACGTTGGAGACCCAAAGTGTAGTTTGGTTGGAATGAGAGGATCAATGTACAACTGTGACCGAGAGGCACAGTCTGTAAAAATGAGAATGCCTAAAGTCTCTAGACCTCAAAGAATGGTGGTTTCTACCCAGCAGAGCTTCCACCTTCTTAATGGCAAAGCAAATATCTCACAACTGTGAACTTTTCACTAAAGACCTTTCACTTTTAAATCAGTGATTTTTCCCCCTTTGGTCTGAAAGTAGAAACAACTTCGCTTTACTTAGAACATTTCATTTTTAAAGCATACAAGTCTGGGTTCAAGATGAAGTTTCATCAAAGGCTGTTGATGGGGGATTTAAAGGGTTTACTTGTCACACAATTTCTCTTTGGTAGTTTTTAAGAAGCCCTCAGGAAAAAAGGTATGAATATTTCCTGTACTGTGCTATGATTCCTTTTTTAGACTACCAGTTTGTGTTGTATGAGAGGTTGGAGAGAGTTGTAGAGTCAAATTTACTCTTTTTAGTTGATGATTTAGGTACTTGCATATTTCAGTACTTACGGCTTTGAAGTCTCCTGTGATGTTTATTTTAATGGTCTTTTTTTCCCCTTCCTTTTCTGCATTAGTAGGCTAAAATACTACCTTTACATTGAAAGCATGGAATTTTTGCTTTATCTAGAAAATTTTATGCACTGTTAATAGAAGGCAGTATATGAGTGGTTGGAAAACTCTCCCACAGCACCAGCAGAGAGATGCCCCTTCAGAGATATTTCTCTGTAGGTGAGTGCGTTGGAGGTGCCCAGGGAATATTTACATTGTATAGCTAGGTGCTGTCTGCTTGTATTTTGAAATGGAAACTGAAGATAAAGAAGGGAAAAAAACTGTAGTACCTCTTTTCTGCCAAGCACAGTGCTAGACACATTCCCTTATATATCCTCACTATTCTCATGACAACAAAAGAGTGAGGTGTATCTTATCGTGACAGTTTTATAACGAGGCTCATGAGACTTAGTTTTTACTATGGACCAGGACACAAACACTATAGTTCTATATCAAGGACTCTTTTCATTTTACCATTCTGCCTCCCTCACTAAATTTATAATAATTTGTCATCTGCTCTGCGACCTTGTTTTAAAAAGCCTTTTTTAGAGATGATGGGAGGGAAAAAGACAGAGGTAGACAAAGATGGTATCATCCTATCAGTTTTCCTTGGCTCCGTCTGATTTGTTTGTGGTGTGGACAATCATTGCGTTCTTCCTACCTCCCAAAAGGTGCTTCTGATGTATGTTTTGGAAAGCACAGTTGCGTACAGGTGTGATCATGGACAAGAGTCCTGCAACCTGGGTTCCAGTCTTACTTTTGCCACTTTTGTGGCTGCTGACTTTGGTTTCTCAAAATTTGCTTCCTTACCTGTAAAATAGGAGTAACAATAAGAGTACCCACATTATTGTGTGGTGGTTACAATTAAAAGAAGTAATCCATGGCCCCTGGCTAAGTGTAAGCACTCAATAAACTCTAGCTAGCTTCTGTAAGTGGTGCCGTCCCCACTAGTATTGTGCTTGCTTCTTCACAGTGTAGTTCGAGTACAAGACACAATGTCCTGTGTGCAGGTGGCTTTTCTATTTAAAGTTCATCTTATGTATTACGTATGAAGGATTTAAGATTCTGTTATACATTGGGAAACTTCCCTTTCTGTTTCAAAGTCAAATGGCCTGCTGAAGGCTCAGCAGTGACTTGGTAAGTGTTTAAGGAGCACACTGCTGGCTCATTTTATCTACATAAGAGGGATGGGCAAATTACCCTCTCTGTCTCCTTTTTTAATGATTATCACAGGGGGGACACCCTTCCTCTACTAGTAAACCTTCCAGAGTCTTACTTTTACACTTTAACAGTGGAAACATATTTTATATCTAGTGAAACAATATTTTTTATTAAAGCAAGAAGATCATTTTCTCATGCCACCTTACTAGAATGGTGAAAGTTTATCAACTGCTGCCTAATGAGAAATGGTTACTTTGTAGAAACAGATTATCGTGAAGGCCACTCTGAATTTGTGGCAAGTCTGGATTGTATAATTCAGATATTAGGCATATAGGAATTAGAAATATATGCACAGTAGAAGCCTTATTTTGGAATATAGGACAGCTCCCTGGTTGGGATTTGAAACTGTAGCTGCCTTTTTGTTGGAACTATAGTAATAATGTAGCAACAAACTGCCCTTTGGTGGTGCTGAGCCACCATTATGCACTTTGAGGTGTTTTCCCAGAGGTCAGGATAGATTTGTCCTGCTGGAGGGCGCTCCTGCTTTGAACCCAAGTCCATATGTTTTTAAGTTCGTGATCTTGACCACCTGAAGTCAAGTTCCTGATCTTGGTCTTAGTGCCCAGTGCGCTAGTCTATCAGCAGTCACTGCCCCTTCACACACACACACTCATTCCCTTCCTCCCTCGCTGTTTGCATATGTGACATGCACTCAGACCTTCAGTTGCTCAGGCACATAAGATAGGCTGTGGGTTAGGTGCCAAAGACACATGCTAGATGTTTCGATGCTGCAGTGTAGGCGTAGGTAAAGCTGATGGTGATAGGGAGGCTGGGAGACATAACCATTGTCCCCTGGAGCCTGTAGAAGAAAAGAGAAGCAGCGTCTAACCCAGCCTGAAGGACAGTTTTGTGGAGGAAGTGATGCCTGAGCTTTATGATGGGGTAGAAGTGAATCAGTTGAATGAGGAGTTGGGAGGGGCGGGGCAAGGGGAAAAGGAGAATGTGAGAGGTGGTGAGGTTTAAATGGAAACCTAGGAGAGGAAACAACAGAAAAACCCACGTGGAGACATGAAATGACATTGGGAAAAGAGTGGTCAGAACTGCACGCTCACCAGTATTACTAGGCCATCACATAGGATGGCTTGTTCTACACTTATTTTCTTCCTACCGCTGGTCAGTCCGTGTTTCCCATGGTCGGTGCTTTTCTCAGGGTTACTTTGCTACTAGGTGTCTCGTCAACTCACTTTTCACCATGACCATCGTCCACAGCGTGGCTGTCACAGCCATAATTCACTCTTGGCTCCTTGGGACTTCAGGATCCTAATGTCGCCACCTTTTTTTCTCTTTATGGCTTGAAATGTTACTTTTTAACAGAGGACTGGCAGAAATGAACCACATGGAGGCCTGAGGAGCGTGAGATGTTCGGAGCTTCTGATCCAAATGAGCTTCGCAGTTCTTATTTCTGCTGGCCTGATGCTGAGCCTGCCTCCTCCCCGCTTGAGGTTACCAGCCCATCTCCCGCTTTAACTCTTGGCATTCTTTTTGATCCTAAGACTTCTGCAGTTTTTACCTCTGCCAGGGCTACTACCAGTTTCTGGCTGTAGATATTATTAAAGAGTCCTACTTAGTCATTGTCAACTAAAATAGGAAACATATATGGTTAGTATGAGTGTTTATGGGTACATAGTTGCTATGAATTGTGACACTTTCTTTTCCGTTTTAAACTATAAAATGGCAAACGTATTAAAATACAAAGCAAGAAAAATTTATGGTAAGTAACGTGAGTGTGCGTAAAATGAATGTGTGGACCCTAAATTATTTAACACAGTTTTTGGCACATACGACAAAGCCATATGAGAAAGCCATAGGATCTGTGGGACTCGTTTTGTGAGCATGTTGATTGCAGAGCCAGTGTTATACAGATGGTTCCATATAATCCAGGAGTGGGTAAACTATGGCCTGTGGGCCAATTCTAGCCTGACACCGGTTTTTGTAAATACGTTCTGAGACACAGCCACGCTCATTTGGTTATGTGTGGTCTGTGGCTGCTTGTGCACTACACCTGCAGAGTAGCGTCAGAGACCATATGGCATGCAAAGCCTAAAATACCTCCTCTCTGGCCTTTTACAGAAAGAGCTTTTTGACTTCTGAGAAAACCTTGGTGCTTCCTGGAAAAACTCAAAGGCACTTGTAAGAGATGTTGAGTCAGCAGGCCTCTGAGCCTCTTATCTGCCTCAAACCATGTCAGATTCTCGGGAGGACAGGAAGGACTTGCAGGCTGCCCATGTTTTCTAGACAGTTCGGCGGCTCACAGATGAGA